ATACGTGCCGGGGGCACGACCCAGAAGAAGCGCACAGGGTGCGTCCCAGTGGATACGTGCGGGGGCACGACCCAGAAGAAGCGCACAGGGTGCGCCCCAGTGGATACGAGCGGGGGCACGACCCAGAGGAAGCGCACAGGGGTGCGTCCCAGTGGATACAAGCCGGGAATAGCGCTCTGGGAACACGACGAACACTTAGTGGCCTACAGTTGGCTCCGGGCGTTCAAAATGTGGCCTGGGAATGGTGTTCTGGGAACACGAATCCACTCGCAATTCACTCACAGACGAGGCTCCCGCCTGAGACTTCCTCCATATTCAGGCCTGAGGAGCCCAAAAATTGACGACAGTTACAGGAATCCGACGAAACGTTCGGATTAGTGAAATGATCTGCGGGCCCCACAGGGAGGGGGGTACCGCCTGAGACTTCCTCGCAAGTCACTCAGAGACGAGGTTCCCACATTCAGGCCTCAGGAGCCCAAAACTGACGACAGTCACAGGATCCCGATGACCCGTTCGGATTAATAACATGATCTGCGGGCCCCATAGGGAGGGGTTCCCGCCTGAGACTATCTCGCAATTTACTCACAGGCGAGGCCCCCGCCTGAGACTTCCTCCAGATTCAGGCCTCAGGAACCCAAAAGTGACGACAATTACAGGATCCCGATGACCCGCTCGGATTAGAAACATAATCCGCGGGCCCCATAGGGAGGGGTTCCCGCCTGAGACTTCCTCGCAAGTTACTCACAGGCGAGGCCCCCGCCTCATACTTCCTCCAGATTCAGGCCTGAGGAGCCCAAAAGTGACGACAGTTACAGGTTTCCGATGACCCGCTCGGATTAGTAACATAATCCGCGGGCCCCATAGGGAGGGGGCTCCCGCCTGAGACTTCCTCATAATTCGCTCACAGACGAAGCCCAAGGCGAGTGAGTGAGTGAGTGACTGACTGACTGACTGACTCATCATCATCATATGTGAGTGCTGATGAGTCAGTGAGTGAGTGAGTGAGTGAGTGTGTGAGGGATGATGAGTGAGTGAGTGAGGAATGAGTGATGATGATGATGGTGGGTTCTTGTTCTTGCGCGTGGTGTCCAGAAAAAACAAGAACCCCACTTTGGATGTGGGGAATCATACCAGCTGCAATACGATCCTCATGATGATCCTACCGGCTGCGACAGGATCCCTACAGGGATCCTACCAGCTGTCATAGGACCCTATATGGGGATCCGACAAGCTGCAGGAAGATCTGTATGGGGATAGTCCCTGCTGCAATAAGATGCTACAGGGATCCTACCTGCTGCATTAGGATCCCTACAGAGATCCTACCAGCTGCAATAGAATCTCTACAAGGAAACCTACAAGCTGTCATAGGATCCCTACTGATATCCTCCCAGATGTCATAGGACCCCTATGGAAGATCCGACCCGATTTTATAGGGCCCCATATAGGGATCCTACCAACTGTAATAGGACCCCTGTAAGGGGTCCACCAGCTGCAAAAAAGATCCCTATTGGGATCCCCCCTGCTGAAATAGGATCCCTACAGGGATCTTACCACCTGAAAAAAAAGGAGCCCTATAGGTGTAGCTCTGAAACTGGCCCGAAACATTCGGTGGAGCCTCCTGCGGGGCCACGAAGTGCGTGAGGAACGCCCTGAAATTTGCCCGACACATTCGGTGAAGCCTCGTGCGGGAGCACGAAACGTGTGAAGGGTGCTCCGAAATGGGCCCGAAGCCTTGGGTTGAGCCTCTTGCAGGGCCACGGAACGTGTGAAGGGTGCTCCGAAGGCCCGAAGCCGTAGGGGGAGCCTCATGCGGGGCCACGAAACGTGTGAAATGTGTTCCGGAATTCGCCCGAAGTCTTCCATCTTTGGAACGATCCCTGCGAGGATCCTAACAGTTCTGGTACGACCCCATATAAGAACCGATGCAGCTCTGGTACGATGCCTGTACCGATCCTACAACAACTGTGGCAGGATCCCCTACGGGGGTCCATACGGCTGAAATTGGATCCCTACCAGGCGTCCCTTTGGGTGTCTGGGGGCCATTTGGGTGTGCGGGGGCTTGGGAGCGCAGGGACGTAGGGGTGTGGAGGGGGCGCCGAAGCCCCAGTGTAGGAATCCACCACTGCTCAGTGAATTACAAAGAAATCTCGAGCAGGAGCCGTCCGCGTTGTTGTTGAACTCTCACTTCTGGAAAATAACTATTGTTGATCCCCCCCACCGGTGCATATTGCTTTTTCTCAATCAAAGTGTGCCCCTCGACGCTCGCACCCTGTTTTGACTGAACCCCTGGCCGCCCGGATTACAACAACACCAACAACAACAACAACAACAACAACAACAACAACAACGGCTCCCGCGTCCCACCCGCCCGACCCGCCCGTCAGGGGATCGCCCGCCCGTCGTGGGTTCCCGCCCGAGACTTCTTTCAGGAACGGCGTTTTCGCCTAGGATTTCCTCGAACGTTCACGCTCTTACCTTCCTGCTCCTCCTCCCTCTCCCTTCTCCTTCCTCTCCTCCCTGTTCTCGCCCTCCTCGCTTCTCTCATCATTATGCGTATTTGCCCTATCCCCTATCCCTCCTCTCCCTTTTCCGTTTTCCCTCCCCTCCCCTGCCTCCTCCCTCCCTCTTTTTTTTCTCGCGTTCCCTTATGTCTCTCTCTCTCTCTCTCTTTCTCTCTCTCTCTCTCTCTTTCTCTCTCTCCATATCACTCTCTCTCTCTCTCTCTTTCTCGTTTTGCCTCTACCTCCCAATTGTGTTTTTATATACCTCTCAATTCTTCCCAACCATCCTGTGGTGTTGGGTCCTCGTTTTGAAGAGACGGTGGCCCGCGTCTCCTCTCCTCCTCTCCTCCTCCCCCTCCTCTTTGCGCTTCACCCACCCAGCACAGCGCTTCGTAGCCCCATAGGGAGCTCCACCGAAGGCGCCAGTGGCAGGGTTCGCATGGCGGCCTGGGGCCATTTCGGCACACCCCTCACGAGGATCGTGGCCCCATAGGGAGCTCCACCGAAGGCTCCAGTGGCAGGGTTCGCATGGCGGCCTCGGGCCATTTCGGCACACCCCTCACGACGATCGTAGACTCAAAACGTGAGCTCCACCGAAGGCGCCAGTGGCAGGGTTCGCATGGCGGCCTCGGGCCATTTCGGCACACCCCTCACGAGGATCGTGGCCCCATAGGGAGCTCCACCGAAGGCGCCAGTGGCAGGGTTCGCATGGCGGCCTCGGGCCATGTCGGCACACCCCTCACGACGATCGTGGACCCATAAAGGGAGCTCCACCGAAGGCGCCAGTGGCAGGGTTCGCATGGCGGCCTCGGGCCATTTCGGCACACCCCTCACGAGGATCGTGGCCCCATAGGGAGCTCCACGAAGGCCCTAGTGGCAGGGTTCGCATGGCGGCCTCGGGCCATTTCGGCACACCCCTCACGAGGATCGTGGCCCCATAGGGAGCTCCGCCGACTGCCCCCAGTGGCAGGGTTCGCATGGCGGCCTCGGGCAATTTCGGCACACCCCTCACGAGGATCGTGGCCCCATAGGGAGCTCCACCGAAGGCGCCAGTGGCAGGGTTCGCATAGCGGCCTGGGGCCATTTCGGCGCGCCCCTCACGAGGATCGTGGCCCCGTGGACCCATAAAGGGAGCTCCACCGAAGGCGCCAGCGGCAGGGTTCGCATGGCGGCCTCGGGCCATTTCGGCACACCCCTCACGAGGATCGTGGCCCCATAGGGAGCTCCACTGAAGGCGCCAGTGGCGAGGGTCGCACGGCGGCCTCGGGCCATTTCGGCACACCCCTCACAAGGACCGCGGCCCCATAGGGAGCTCCACCGAAGGCGCCAGTGGCAGGGTTCGCATGGCGGCCTCGGGCTTTTTCGGCACGCCCCTCACGAGGATCGTGGCCCCATAGGGAGCTCCACCGAAGGCCCCAGTGGCAGGGTTCGCATGGCGGCCTCTGGCCATTTCGGCACACCCCGCACGAGGACCGTGGACCCACTGGAGCTCCACCGAAGGCACCAGTGGCAAGGTTCGCATGGCGGCCCCGGGCCATTTCGGCACACCCCTCACGAGGACCGTGGCCCCATAGTTGTGCTGCTTCAACAACCGCGCCTAGGCGTCGTACTCCGCCTTGTCGACGTGCAACGCCACCTCCTCCCTCATGGCTCCGAGGCCCTTTCCTGCTTCTGCTCCTCGGTGAGAAAGACGCCGTCCTTGTCGTCGTCGGCGCCCGCGAAGACGGCCACGAACGTGCCCCTGAGCATGTCGGGCCCCGGCGGGAAGCCGTGGCCACATAGGGAGCGCGGGCGAAGATGGCATCCACAATTGCGGCATTCACAACTGCATATGGTTGGGTCCTTCGCCAGGATAATGTTTTTTATATG